CTCCTCACTTCTGCTTAACCGTCATTAGCGAGACAACACTCTTTTGTGGTCATCGGCTGCTGATGAAGCGGGCGAGGAACAAGCTGGAGAACTGCTCCCACGAGTTAATGGACCGAGGAGGGAGGCTTGAGAACCAGTGTCGAGCGGCTCCCTTGAAGGTTGCCTGGAAAGTTTGGCATGTCAAGGTGTCGAAGTATCCATATAGGATCATGAGTGCCCTGAAGCTCTCTAGGTGATATCGTCTGGGTTTGTGTTCCCGTTGTACATCTCCAAGGTGCGAGCTTTGAAGTTTGGGGGTAGTGGCTCGACAATGATGTTGGGGAAGAAGGCATCCATTCTCCCCATAGAATTACTCTATCCGGCTAAGGTGTCAGTTTGGCCTTCCTTGACTTGTCGGAGCTCGGCTTTGACAGCACCGAGCTCCGCTCGTAGTTCGGCAAACTGAGGGTTGGGCATGGCCTACGTGCCATCCTAGTCTTTGCGGATGCGGTGGGGGTCAGCACGGACTCCAAAGTGTTTTGAGGCGAGATCACACGCCTCGCGCTTGGCGCAATGGTCATTCAGGACATCTCGGAGATTCGAGATGTGAGGGGAAGAGGCTCCTCATCGGCCCTCGATCCTAGAATGAGCACTAGGGTGACCGTGACATCTGCCTTCGTCCCTCGAGTTTGCCTTTTGGCACCAGTGATGTTGTTCAAAGGTTGGCAGCTATCCTCAAATTGTGTTGGTTCCTCCTCCCTTTGATTGGGAGGTCAGGAGTTCCTGGGCAGGCTGGTTGGGCGACTATTGCCGGACTCGAAGGGGTCGATCTGTGGCACGTGTCCGAGGCCGAGGGCTAGCTGGCTTGTAGACCCGTGCTGACCTGGTTGTGTTGACTCCCCGACAGGGCGGTCTCCCTAGGGAGGACCTCCTTCTTGGGGGTAGCTCTGCTCGACTCGTTGTGTTAAATACTCCAAGCGATCAAGCACGGCCTGGAATTGTATTCCTTCCAAATTGAGCTTAAGGCTGTGTTTGGTTGCAATGCAAATGCAAATATGTACACTACATATTTACCCATTTTTCGATTCATGAATGCAAACACGGTTCACATTTTAAACCGTTTTTGCATTCATCTTGTTTGTTTGAAATTGGTGCAAAAGTGTGGGCTCATCATTAAATGCTCCAACTATCTTATGCTCCAATGCAGTAACTTTGGTCAATAAGTTAATTATCAAAAGAACACAAAATTGTATCCAAAATATAGGTACAGTAATGCTCTCTTCTCACATTACAAAAGTATCAGAAAATACATTTTTGCTTTGATAATCATTACTTTTTTACGTTTCAAACAAATGCTCGCAAACGTGAACCGGAGTACATAAATACCCCGGTTCGACGTTTGTATTACAAACAAATGGAGCCTAAGGCTCAATTTGGAAAGAGTACAAATATAAATTTATACAATACACAAATACATGCAAAATAATATAAAATATAAGGTTTTGTACTCAACAAATTTATATTTGTACTCCTTCCAAACTAAGCTTAGGGTGAAAAAGTTATTTATCTATGTACGAAATGGGTATACTTAAGAAAATAAACTTTCCCTAATTCCCACATAAATATGAAAAATAAAAAAATAAAATATTACAGTTTTTTTTGTTAATAGAAACCAAAATCCCATTAACCAACTTTCCCCCTCTCAAAATCCAAAAACAAAAAAAAAATGCCACCTCAACTTTCCTTATATATATGGAGGAGCTCAACCATAATTGACTCCAAAGAGATGAATACACCGTTTTTTATTATTTGAATAGAAAAAAAAAATGAATTGATGTAATGTTTTGTTTTTTCTTTCAAACACCGGTGTGTTTTGTTTAATTGGAGGTTTCATGTAACGGCCAAAATACTTCCGCTGCTATTGTGAAAGAGGAAATGGTTTGATTCGTGGTGGTGAATGATAAGGCCACACCGCCTAATTGTGTTTTGAAAAGTTTAAGTACTTTCCATTTCCAATGAAGTGGCCTTAACATCTACAGTGAATCAAACTTGCTATTTCCTCGGTTATATATAATAGGAGAGGTCAGGTTGTGATGGTGGTCACAGCAGATTTTTTCTCCCTATCAAGTATCAAACATCCCCAATGAGAAGATGATAGGTGTCCATGGAGTGTACGAAGCAATGCAAATATGTACTGCTTCATTTATCTATCTTCTTCCTATCTAGCTTCTTCCTTTAGGCAAATTAAGGCATTAGAGACCCTCACAAATTTGTCTTCTTCTCCCTTCCCTCTCTTCTGGCAAGTGGTAATGGATAATCAGCATTTCTTATCAAGTGTGTCATACAATAAGAGATGCATCGTAACTCTGAATTAGAATATATTAATAATTATGGATTCATGAAAATGAAAATAATAGTAGCAACCACATACACTCAATAAGTGTGTCATTTATACTCTTCATATCTCAAAAAGAACTACATTTTAGATGCAAAATTTGCACCACCTACAGGCCTCTTTACCTCAATTCTCTCATAAAGGTAGCAACCACATCATTTTTGCTTCTCACAAACAAATAAGACTAAGGGGCTATTGGACAATATGGTTAGCTTTGTCTTTTGCTGTACGTGACAGTTGTTTCTGTTTTCAAAGATAAAATTAACCATGTTGTCCAACATCCCTAAAGCTAAATCTGAAGCAAAATAAGCCGGATTTTACCCTCAGCCTATAGCAATTATAAATACGATAAATTTTTTATATGGAGATGCATGACGATAGAACATATAATAGGAATAATTATTGCTTAAAGCTTTAAACATGTAGCCAAATAAGTTAGGCTTGTATCTCGCCTACACAGTCCATCAGTTCCTGTAGGCTGTAGCGGTTGCAATGGGCAAGATGACCTCAAAAGCCCAACATTAGAGTTGAGCGACAATGATCAGTGGGGCATAACTGAAGAATTTCAGTTATTTCATTTACTTGAACTGTTAAGAATGTACACAATGAGTTTAATGAGTTTGCATTTGTTAAAAAGTTTTCTCACCAATGATGTTTTTTTGTTAGTCCCGCATGTCTGTTGGGCGATTTTCGCATAATCTCGTTGTTTATATAGAAGTCCTCATAGGTTTGTATTAGGCTATATTTGGCATTCCTCATTTTAAGGATTTATCTCCTTCTTTATTAATAGGTGCATTTTAACTGCAAATATCTCGTTGGGCGATTTTCGCATAATCTCGTTGTTTATATAGGCTGCATTTTAACTCCAAATGCAGCCTTAATCTTATTAGCAAATATCTCACTTGCTTATTAAGATTTATTAAAGTGTTATTTGGCATCGATGCCGTTGCTTCAAAAAACAGCTCCAAGTCTGTGCCACATCAGAAAAAACGACGGTGTGCCAAGAAATACAGCCTTGTTTGGAACCGTTATTCTGAAAAACAGCCATGCATTGGAATTCAGGAAAGTGTGGCTCGAGAAAACATCAAATTTGGTGTTTCTCATTTTTGGAACTGTTGCCGCCAATTGTACCATAACATGGCATCATGTAAACCATTGGATCTGTGGACCAATGCTGAAAACAATTATAGAGCATTGATACCAAATAAAACCGATGACTTTCCCCCAGAAAATATCCTATGTGGCAGCATTGACGCCAAACAATAAAAAAAGCCATTTTCTCAGAAAATGGTGCAACAGATATAACACTGTTGTCTCAGATAACGGCTCTGAAGCAACGCATTGGTGCCAAACACCAGCTAAGATTAAGGATTAGTTGAAGGCAATAGCTAACTGTTCAAACGGGCTGTGGAACTAACTATAACTCTCTACTAAAAAAAAAAAAAAAAAAACTCTTTACACCAGTAATAAAATACATTTAACCCACAATCATTTAATTTCTCACTGTGGGTCTAATGCATTTTATCACTAGCGTGGGGCACGACCATTGGTTCTATGGCCGTAGGGGGTGCAACTTGGTTATGCACAACCTAATCTGGATTTATCCCGTCAATAATTTTCATGGGTTTCAAAATCGGACCAGACTGGGCGGTCAGACTGGAAAAACCGGGAATCGGTCAGGTGATAGGTTCCATTTTACTCCAGAACTGTTATTTCGCCAAAAATCATTGATTTGGGCAGCAAACCGCAGACCCGGACAGTCGAAACATTCGAACTGTCCAACGGTTTGGCTGTTTCTTTTTATTTTTTATTTTTTGTCAAAATGATCGGACCATTTGACCCTGAAATCAGACCCCTGACCAGCTCATTGTCTGATTCGATTTTAAAAACCTTGATATTTTTATACAAGTTGAGCTTGGGTTTCTGGTGGTAGAATTTGGGTGCAAAATATTATGCTTATTCGAGCTGAGTCCTTAGTTAACTCGAGCTCCATCCAACTTCAGCCGAACCTGGGCCCTATCCAACTATAAATATGCATAAGTACATATATAAAAACGTATTTATATACATAACTGTATTAACACATATATGTATGTCAATTTTCAATGCAAGTCGATTGGCTAATTCAATTTTCAATGCAAGTCAATTCAAATATCTCAAATTTGAGTACAAACTATGCCTGATTTAGACAAATCAAACTTAACCTTGGGCTTGGGCCTTAAGCCCAATTCTTCGGTCCGGATGCTTATTCAACCTATTACACACAAGGTCTGGCCCATCAAAAGCTGTGTTTTAGAATGTCTTTACGTTGCCCTTCACCCGTGCTGCCCGCTCGAATTTCTTTATAAATCAATCTTGGGCCTCTTGCCAAGCATCAAATCTAAGTATAAAGCATTTAAACTCTATGTTTATTAATTGCTAGCTTATCAACACCCAAGCCACCAAATTGAGAGTACGATCTGTAAGTGTAAGTGATGCAACGAAAAGATAAATAAACGAGTTAGGCCAAATTGCTTATGCCACATGGCCTACAACCCAAGCACGAGCACAACCAAGACAAGCTGCCGAAGCCCAATCCGTGCTCCAATCCAACTTCTGATTAAACCCAACTAAAATATTATTTATATGTTTTTTAAAAGAAAATTTTCTTTACAAATTATCAAGCATACATATGACAGAACTATGTACAATCCAGAATTGGAAAGTAAAAGAAAACTATATACAACTCAATTATCTTGATCAACAAACAAAACGGCAGAAACAGTACTTACTGATATCTTGCCAGACGATAGTTATGATACATATAACAGCCTATACGGCTATACCCATATCATGTCTTTGAGAGCGACTGAGAAACCCGAATCTTCGTCTCTGTACTAGCTGGGTGCAACTCAACCCCAGTCGGGAGAACTGCAGCAGGGTAAGCCGGTATGGCACCCGGATTTCTAACCGCGTAGTATACATGCTGACCTACACCTACCCCGTCAGGAATCACTCCTGGCGGGTATTCATATGGATATGCTTCAACCGCTGAAACCGGTTTCATGCCCCCGCCGTATACCTGACCTACGCCGGCAACTGGTTGCCGGAACCCGACTGGAACTTGACCCGGAGGCATCGGGATTTGCTGCACGTAGTGACCCGGTATCTGGACGTGTTGCACCGGAACGTTCCCCGCGGGTACTGGACCCGGAACATAGTAAACCGGAACTGGTTTTACAGTGGGACCATGGAAGTGAGAGTCCGGTGGATACTGGCATGCAGGACTACCCTGGTATCCTCCGGCTTGTTGAGAAATTGATACATCTCTTGTCTCCTTCAAACCCTGTAGCGGATTTTCTCTTGAATCAGGGGCATGAATTGGATTCTCTGGCTTTGTTTTAACGGGTGGGAGATCCGGGATTGGAGGCAAGCAAGGCGCCGATGAGGTAGAGCAGAACGGGGATGAAGTAGCCGGAGCCGGTGAACCGGGGTCGAAAACCGAGATGTTTTCGGCCACAGAGGAGCGGGTTTTTGGTTTGGGCTCGCGAGTGTCATCCGAATTATCAAGGCCAAAGAGATAGTCAGGGACTTCAGAGAGGATAGAGGAGGCTTCGGACCGGCCACGCTCTAAAGAAGCCGACCCATCGCCACCATTGAGGGCGTCGAGGAACCAGTTTGCGCGCTTGGATGAACCGTCGAGGAGTGAGCCCAGGCTGCTAGCGTTGGAGCCGTTGATAGGGAAAAGGAAGAGTCGGAGCCGGGCCGTTTTGGAGTTGACACCATGTAATAAGCGGTCGTACTCCTCCATCATGTTCTCGACGTCTTCATCTGCGGTGACGGAGATCAAGGCATCGAGGTCTTCGTTGGGGAGTTGATACTTGACGGTGATGTCCGTGGCTCCAGAAAGCTTTGATAGTTTGGCGAGAAGGACTGCAAAGGTGGTGTTACGATTGATGGCGACGATACGCGTCTCTCCTCCTACGTACCGGAGCTGGTTATCGTGTGGCCTAGGGAGGATCCGGCCTCCAAAACTGCACATGAATCGGACACGGGGCAAGAGATCTTCATACAATCTGTGCGGCGGATGTGGTAAGTGGTCCGACCGCGGGGAAGACGTGACAGAGTCTGCCGTAACGGATTCAAGTTCGGATGGATGTTGGGACGCCATTAAACCGATCCACTGTCTGTTACAGACTCGATCAAAGAGAGTGAGAGAGATGTGGGTCAATCTCAATCGGACCTGGCATAAGAGAGACTATCTTAAAATCAAGATTATTAACTTGATCTTTGGATAATTAGATTTAATTCCCGTTTTGGGTTCCCAAATGTCCATTTCGGGCGGGCAGGGATCCTTTTGTTACCAGAGCTCATGTCTGCTGGTCCCATGCACCAAACACAATTACCCCTGGGTGACGCTAGAAACAGCTTTTCGATTTGATTGGTTTCAGCTTTCGGGCTTCAGCAGTTAATCTTTTTTTTTTTTTTTTTTTTCTTTTTGTTGGGTAAGAAAGAAGAGGAGGGCCCCAGCTGATGAGCTGAAACAATAGTAATGTAGTGTTTAGTGTTTGCTTCGATTATATTGGTGTTTCTAGGCTTTCCCTTTAAAGATCGTACGTTGCAGCTGTTGGTCTTTTTTATATCTATTCTGTTTCTGAAACCTTAGACAAGCTGATGAGATTCTGAAATCTAAGTAGATGCATTATTCACATTTGGCTTTCGTTTACCTTTGATTATTTTACCCTCATTTTCTTTTTAACTAGGAGTACCAGCTCAAAATTGTAAATCTGGTCCGAGGTGAGAAGTAATTTTCTGAGAATCTAAATTCTAATCTAGAATATCCAGGGTGTGCCAAGTAAGCATGAATACCTATTTTTATCTGAAAATGAAAGCTTGTACCGAATCCGAAATATTGGAACCTAAATAATTATTGTTTGTCCTCTTCATAGGATAAGAGCTCCAGAAACAGTGAAAGACTCGAGCTGTGAGGCTGTGGCTACCATCTCAGAAAATAAAACATTTCATTTTTTTTCAAAAGAAAAGGAAAAAACAGTCACTTATAAATTGCCTGCTGTCTGTGTTTTATTTGATCGTCTCAGAATAATGGAAGCTTTTTCTCCTTTTGGTGAACAATAGTTGGAGATGAAATGAGACAGTGCATTTACAGTTGTCTGTAGCCACTTATTTCGAAGATGTGTTTCTATCCATGTTCCGGGAAAATACAACTACATCGACAAGAATGCTACTCTTTGATTCATTAATCCAGCATTTCATTGAATATATCAACGAATTAAATAAACAAAAACCAGGAAAAATCATCAAGATTTTGATGAAAAAAATTCTACATGTATCCCAAGAAAGAAAGAAAGAAAGAAGAAACACTTACTTGATCGAAACAGGCTGTTGGCGATTGTTATGCTTTCCAATATTATACGAGTACGCGACTATACAAGCTTCCGCAAGTATCAACTCTTGGCTGGCCTCTGGTTGGAGAGAGAGAGAGAGAGAGAGAGAGAGAGAGAGAGAGAGGAGGGATAGATTGGCCGATTGGGTTTGGGGGGAACGATAAGAGGGGATGTTTACTTTTGTAAGAAAACGTGATACAAGCAAGACATACGATGGACGGCTGGGTGATGCGAGATGTGTGGGTCCTACACCTCATAGTCTATCCACGCCGCAACGTGGCTTGGTTAATTGGCTTTGTCAAATTTCAATTATTCTTCAGGCATGCGCCCTTACTAATACTGTGATACAAGCCACTCCCGCTGTCTGTAGAGTGTAGAGTGTAGACTCAACACAGTGACACACATAGATACAATTAAATTGGTACACAATAATTCCATAAACCACGTTGTAATGTGATAAATTTGGACCGTTTATTGTAGAGGCCTCAGAGATCTCAAAATCAGATGGCTGAGATTGAACTTTGACTTTTTTCACTGTCGACTCAAAGTTGGACTTCAAAATCGTGGGTTGATTTTTTTCTTCACTCTGAAAATATTTGAATTATACTTTGTTTCTTTTATTCCATGATTTTTTTTTCTTTTTTAGCATTTAAATAAAATAAATTGAAGGATGAAAAAAAAAAAAAAAAAAACTAGGACGATGTATTTACACCTGTAAACTGTAAAGTAGATACAAATAAACTCAGTGACAATATGAATACGATCATGGGTAATTTGAGTAAAATCCCAAGTTCTATGCATTTGCTACACCTGAAAGCTAGCGCTTGATGTGTTTACCACTCACCAATTGTTAGCCCACTCCCAACCAAATACACTTGCCACGTGGCAGAACCAAGTCCTTATATTGGGTATTTGGAGTTCAACTCCTGTATGAGGTCCAATTAATGCAAGCAAGGTTGCTAAAAAGTCTGAAACTGGAGATGTTGATAACTTGAAGATAATGCAGGCGTGAAGGAAAAAGAAATATGCTCCCCAAAAGAATTAACAACTGGAGGATTTGGTAAGCGGAACCCACATAACATAACCCACTGGTCACTGCTGTAGAGATTGATAAGAGAAGGAGAAAATATTTTGTGGTGAAGTGAGAGGGGTGGAGGCATCCTCGTGCGTCAGAATAACTCCAAAGAGCTTAAGGCCAAACTTTTGTGATGGGATGTAAGCGGTCCATGTTAATACTGCAACGCCGACCATTCACGGATTAGCTATCATATATAGTTTTTATTTTTTTTTAAATATCGAAAAATAAAATAGAAGAAAAGAATTTTTCTGTGGATGCGAATGCAATACATCATCACAGGTGTTTGTTTGTGATAATGAGGAAATTTTATTGCCGCCCAAAGCCCACTTGGGGACAAGTGACGTTTATTAGTGTTGCTTTCCAGGAAAGGGAGGCTCTTAATAAGGTCAAATAATTCTATAGGATAGAGATTTTTTATTATATTAGTTGAGTCAATTACTCTTCTTCTTCTCTTCTCTACCATGTAGAGTAGAAGAGTAGAACCATCAATGGGTTGAGTCCACCTGATAGATTCCTAAATCATTGTTTTAATATAAATATGCCCACTTAAAAAAGGGTTTATCTATATCTGAATGTTTGATTTAATTTTAGTGTAAATCATAAAAGTTAAATCTAATATCGTATATCATATATGGTTATACATATACTAGCGGAACCCGTGTGATATACGGAATTGAACTTAAAACTTATTGTTTTATAGAACTATACAACCCAAGGGTAGGTATGGCAATTTTCTCTATCCCCGCCAAGTACCCAACCTCCCCAATCAGGCAATGATGGGGTGGAGATTGCCTTAGTGGAGATAGGGTTGGGATGGAATTAATAGGAATACTTGATTGGAGACGAGGAGCAAAGTCTACACCCTACCCCAATCCTAATTATATATACTAAATATGTGTATATATATTATATTAAATATATAATATTATTTATAATATTTTATATTATATATATCTATATATCAAAATATATTAAAATATTATTCGCATTTTAATTTTCCTTTATTTTAAATAAATACCTTTCTAAAAATAAACTTTTAATTAAAAAAAATCTGATATTCAGGCCCCCGATGGGAAATCTTTTCTGTCAAGAATTGGGGATGCAAGCTAAAATTTTTTATAGGGATTAATTTAAAACTCGAGGTCGAGATGGGGAGTATGATCCCTGCCTCGAACTTGCCCATTACCATTCCTACCCTGGGGTCATCCCCTAAATCTATAACACCACCCCAAATCCATAAATATATTTCCACTAATTATGGTAATTATAAATGTAGTATCCAATACTTATGGAAATTGTTAAAATATTTCAACTATTTATTTGAAAAATTGGAAGTTATATAATTTAAGTTTCACTTAATTAACAAAATCACTAATTATTGCTAAAAAATTATAGTAAATATCAAAATTACTGAAAATATAAAAAATAAATTTATATTTATTGAAATTAATTTTCCACTAAAACATTACTGATAATTTTAATTACTAAATTTGTATTTATTAATATTTTAATTAATTACTAATTTTTGGTAATTATTGATTTCAATAATTAATTTTCAAAAAAACTGAAATTAAATTACCAAAATCAGTAATTTTCAGTAATCAATTCTTAGTAATTAAAATTTTCAATTTACCAAAATTACAAAAAATTATAGTTTAGGTGTTGATATTTACTAAATAATATTCAATAATATCAGTAATTATTGAAAATATTAAAAATACTTCACAAATTAATTTACCCGCATTTTTGGTTTTTAGATGATTTATAATATGATATAGATTAAAAGGTGTTTTAGCCTTTTACGAAAAATTTTAGATGGGAGAGATTGTTTAGGAGAAATTTTAGGAGGGGGTTGAGCCGATTGATAATATGAGAGAGAGAGAGAGAGTTGGAGTGGAACTCTAGTGAAGAAGAGAGAGTTACAAACAAGTGGCAATATAGATTAAAAAGTGTTTTAGGAAGAATTTTAGATGGGAAGAGATTTGAAGTGGTACTCTAGTATAAAAGAGAGGCCTGGGACTGGGTATGTTCATCTTTCTCCTCTTTAATGGGTTTCAGTTTTAGAAGCACTTTCTCTTTGTGGTCAAACCAAGTGTATTTGATGGTTTTACCGAGCAAAAGTGTTGGGCCTGGGCCTGGGCCTGGACATGTTTATCTCTCTCCTCTTTAATAAGTTTCAACTTTAGAAGCACTGAATCTTTGTGGACTTGTGGTCATTGGTCAAACCAAGTGTATTTGATGATTATACCGGGCAATCTGAAAACCTCTGCCAGTATTAAACATTGGCAACTTCTGCCATTATTGTTTTAAAAATGTTAAAAATGAAGGAATCTGACCCCGGACCAGCCAAGGTGAAGGTTCAATTTGCTACAAGCTGACAGAGTTCAAGAAGCTTGGTTAAATCAGCTCTAACTTGACTTAATGACCTTCCAGCACAAGTTTTTGACTTCCAAAACACTAATTTATATTAAAAATAAAAAGGAAGACCCAAAGCTTTTCTTCAAAAGGTAACATCACCTCAAAAAAAGTTCCAATAAAAGCCAAAAACAAGACCAAACCCAAAGGGTTAATTTGTAAGGTGATGGATGATCTTAGTTTTGGACCATCATCTCTGCATGTGGCAGAAACCATGCAGTGTATTTGAAAAAAAAAAAAAAAAAAAAACTATATGTCAAAAAAAGCAGGACAGGATTTTGCTTTTAGCACAAAGAAGGGGAGTGTCACACAATAACAGGGATAACATAGCCAAGAATTTAACTCTGATTGTGTAGGCCGGTCAAAGTTGACCAATTCAATCAAGCCCAACCCCATTGTCATAAATTGATAATTAATTAATTATTCCACTCCAGTACGAATGGGTTGAATCAGGTGTCGGCGGGTGGGCTGTTCAGTTGGGTTTGTCGAGGTTTGGTTTGAAATAAAAATTTTATGTATGAATATATATTAAAAGTTAGAAAAAATGTATGCTGCCCAAAATACATGATATTGGAAGTAAGGTTTAAGTACCGGAAACTTTAGGCGTATCAGAAAGGTAATTTTAAGAGATATATCGGGATATGTCTTAAATATGTATGTATATTGAAGAAAAATTAAGATGGACGTAAATATGTATGGTAATATTATAAATATTTTAATAAATCATAAAAATATATTAATAACACTAAATTCTATATGTATTAAATTAATATATTTTAATGTTTTATGAAGAAATGCATTGTAATTAATTCTAATTTCATTTAAAAACCTATGTTAAACTACAATTTATAAATTATAATTCTTAAGTTTTAAGGGATGGAAAAACCCAACTTTCCTATCCAACCATAAAACAATCATTGGCACAACTTTTTAAGTGTAAATATAATTAATAATTATTTCTTATTTAAATAATTACAATTTTATTTTATTTTCAAAAATTACAAAAAATAAATAAAAAACATTGTAGAATATAATGAAGAAAATTAATTATTTAAGAAGAAATTGCAATTGGCTCTATAGATATGATAGATCATCCATAGATCTATAATATATTCAATCATTGTGATTGGATCATAAAATAATAATTAATTATTCTTTATTTTTAATTCCAAAAATATTAAAGAAGATATTTCAATTGCTTTATGGATATGTTAGATAATCTATAAATCTAAAACATATTAAGTCTTTATAAGGTAGACAAAAAATACATTTTTAATTTTTTTGTTATTTTATATTTTTTCCAAATCTTTTCATAAAATTTCCATAAATCTACTCATAACACAAAAAAATGGATAAAAGACTTAAACATCCCTTTAATTTTCATATAAATACTGAAACCTCCCCTCCATTAGTAATCTGTTAAGATTTGGTTACATGTGATGTCAAAACTTTTCAAAAACCCAATTTTGCCATTTTCATGGTGTAGTAAGAAAAAATAATAACACAAATCTGAAGTTGTTATTTTCTAATATTTCTGATCAATGTTGAAACCGTTTAAAGATTTGATGATGCAAACAAGATTTAATCCATACAAAATTATAAAACTAGAATTTGGGTGTTTTACAAATGGACTTTAAACTCATCAATTT